TGTTATGTTTGAGTTGAGTTCAGCATTAAAGCTGTTTTCGTTTAAGTTCTGTCTCCGGAGTCTGCACTTTGGGTCCTATTCCTGTTTGCACACAGCCGCACCTAACACCAAAGGCACCTGCAGATGCCTTTGACGGTGCAAAACGTTTCGTCGATATTTTTGTGTTTGTTGGAGAAAACTTGCAAACAAACATACAGTACAGTACTTCAGAGTCACACTGCTAGCGATCGAAGATTTAGGTAAATTTGACAAGCTGAACGCATTCTGTACTGTACAGGAGACACGGCATGAGATCGATTGGTTTACAGCCAATCAGAACGCAGAACACAATACGCTGTAAAAAAAAACAAAAACAAACAAAAAAAAAAAAACATGCAAAATTGCACAAAAAAATCCGCGAAACAGCGAGACCGAGAAAGGTGAACCGCGTGTAGCGAGGGACCTCTGTAATGCACCCATAATGCTCCAGTGTTTCATTTTAATTCTAGAAGAAAAGAAAAAAAAAACAAGATTAGCTGGGTTAGTCTGTAGTAATGCATGTTATTATGAATTATGTGCAATGTTAATCTAGACAAAAACTAAACAAACAAAAAAAACTAAAAGTAAAAATACACTTTTTTCGGCTATGCAAAGACATATAAATTAGTATACTGAATACAAGCAGCTTAAATTGTACAGTAGTGTGTGTCTTATGTAAATATCTCCTTAGCTACTTCCATAAATCAGTTGTCAGTCTTCTTATTTGTCTTTACAACATGTTCAGTATTTTATGGTGGGTCTCGGGGCCAAACACAGCGTTTCATGTCTTGTAAATGTTAATGCACCATTTTGTTTAGTTTATGATGGAAATTACTTTCTGTATATAAAGAAAATCAAAAATAAGGCTCTAGGCAACATTTCAAAATAAATAGAAATAAATACAAGCTGTGAGAAGTGTATCATTTTCCTAGTTGCATATATAGTGTTTACTTCACTCTAGATGTGAGTCAGTGTGTCATAAGTTGACGATTCTGTCTAACATCAGACGTCTGCTGTTTTTTTTATTTGGGAGACTAAATGTTCGCAATTTCTCTGCTCACAAATTAAAATCCAAATTTTCTTGATTTTGAGTGTAAATTCAGTTTTAGTCCATATAGGCAAACCCACATAGACTCAAATTCAGAATAATAATGTGACATGTCTCTTGTCCTATTTATGTGTATATGTGTGTTTGTTTGCTATGGTGAAGCTAAGCAACGCCTTTGTGGTGGCCTTTGGTGAATTCATGATGATGCACTCCAGGTTTGCCTCTCTAGTCACCTCCTTCTGGCCAGTCTACCCTGCCAACACTCTGGTGGTCACTGGTACCATTGCCACCTGTGTGTGCTACTTGGGAGTGGTTGGAGGCATGAGGGAGAACCGCTGCATGCTCATAAGCGTGAGTATGAAGCAGTGACTCAATGTCGCCCAGAGATTTTTAATGAGTTACTATAAAATATAATAAACTTTATAGTAGGTGATCGTGGCTCAAAGAGTTGGCAGTTCGTCTTGTAACTGGAAGGTTGCCGGTTCAAGTCCCGGCTCGGACAGTCTTGGTCGTTGTGTCCTTGAGCAAGACACTTCACCTACCGCCTACTGGTGTTGGCCAGAGGGGCCGATGGCGTGACATGGCAGCCTTGCTTCTGTCAGTCTGCCCCAGGGCAGCTGCAGCTGTGGCTGCAACTGTAGTTGCCTCCACCAGTGTGTGAACGTGAGAGTGAATGAATAGTGGAATTGTAAAGCGCTTTGAGGGCCTCGAAAAGCGCTATATAAATGCAATCCATTATTAAATTAGCATAACTATGCTTTTAATGAGCTTTGCATTTAGTTTGAATGAATGCAAATACAGTACACTGAAATTAGCTGAGAAGATGCAAATGTAGTCATGTGGTGTCCCATTTTCACCCACACAGTTTTATGTCCTGCTGTCCTTCCTGATATCTGTGGAGCTGGCCATGGCCTGTGTGTTTTTTGTCTACAACAGAGAGGTAGGACAGTCTCTATCTGTATCCATATGTGTATACATATACCAGGTTATTTAAAGGTTTCTATTAGAAGTACACCAATCCAATTTTTTCCAGTTGTGATACCAAAACCAGAGGAAAAGAATGATTACTTTATGTGTAGCACAATATCGGGTTTGATATTTTGACAAGATTTGTAGCATAAAATGTATCAAATAATGGCAACAGAACCATAATAAAGAAAATCTATGCACTTTATTCACCTCTATAAGCTGTCTAGCTTGGTTCATGCTGCTAGCAAGTTCACATGGCCTATTGAGTGGTTGTTTTTTGTCCCATGATGATTACCCCTTTAATGCCAAGTTACCATGATGCCCACATCCAGTGCTGACGTCAAAACTAGGTGTGAATTCTATTAAATTGTTTAGTCTCATAAATGTCTTAGAGTGTTGTTACACTACGAGCCAGATTCAATCATTCACACACTTGTAAGCTCTTTTTAAAATCTATTTTGCACATATTTACATGCCAGTGAAGCATAAGGGACAGTTTAGGGTTTGCAGACTGGAGAAGCCATTGATAAAACCACCTGTGCTACATAATCTGAACCACCTATTCTAATTATTGTCACATAGTGTTACCTTAAGTGGAACAAAAGCTTCCCGGCAAGTATTAAGAGACACAAGTAACAGAAAGTAATAGGGTGAGTTAGCTGTGTCAGCTCACTTCACCGCATTTGTAGTTAAGCATAAAGCACAATATACAAAAAGACAAGCTGTTAGCATTGCACTCATGAAAAACTAAGTGCTGTTAGCTTCCTCCAGCTGCACTGCTGCTACTTATAGTGTAGTAAACAGGACAACATGGAACTGGACTGAATTAAAGTCCTATCCAAAGCAAATATTGCCACTGGGTCTTCAGGTTTGGTCAGGTATTTTGTACAATTTATTTAAATATAACTTTAATTTTAACAGCCACCAAAACATAAAAACTGTATGCTTAAAGTTGGAAATGAAAAAATAAAGTTTCAAAGTTTACTACTTCAAAACAAGGGCATATTTTACTGTTGTGGAATTATTTCTTAGATTGAGAATCTGTTGAGTGCCACATCTCAGACACATTGATTGGCCTGTTATTACAATACTGGAAAAGCTGAAGAAAGAGTCCATCACATACTGAAGTGTTGTATACTTAGTTTCTATGTAGATGGACATATTAATTAACCAAGGAGCTAAGTTCATTCTCCAGACTTACGGCATATGTTCTCGCATTTTTTGACTTTTTGCTTGTTTGGTTTGATTTGGTACTGGTATTTATCCCCACTTGTATCTAAACACTGTTTTTGTTCATGTCCAGTAGGCTCCAGTATATTTCTGTTCTTTCGCTTCCTTTCTGTCATGCAGATTGGCACATACTTTGAGAAAGATCTGATGCACAGCTTGGAGGTCTACAAGATATCGGGTCCAGGAGAAAATCAGACACTCAAAGATGACTTTGATGCCATCCAGTATCTGGTAAATGATAAGCTGCTTTCCTCTGTCAGATTAATCATGCATGTCCTGCTCCACCATTTAAAGCTAAACACTGCTCATATTAACACTGAATCATCAAACTCAGAAAAACAGGCTCATTGAAGTAGAAACTTGTAGCATTAAATGTAATACTATGAATATTGAGTTAAAGAATAAATATATGGAACTGGATATAAACAGAATAGGAAATCATTTTGTGCCTTTCCCTGCTCAGATAGTAGACATGTTTACTCCACTGAACCTGAGTGTTGTGTTTTGTACAGTTTAAGTGCTGTGGAGTCCACGGTGTGGCAGACTGGGGGGGAAATGTCCCAATATCCTGTTGTACTCTGGACCCTTGTAACGTCACTGACCAGCCCAACTGGCAAGAGGTTCGTTTACATTATCAAACCATAAAACACTGTTTTTAAAAGACTTTAGTTTTATTGGGGTGAACACACGTTTAACAAAGAACGTAGCAGAAAAAGGGGTGTTTGAAAAAAGATTTTCAAAGTAGACAAAAGAACAGGTGAAGTAGTAGTTGTTCCAGAAAAAAGGTAACACAGGAGTTTCATGAGACGATAAAAACAATTTCCATTTTGGATATACATTAAGAATTTGGGAATGTTGCTTTCAGATAAATTACAGCATATTAATTCATCAATAACAATTCCAAACTTCAACCAATATAGTTTGTGTTTGTTTAAAGCTAAACCCCAATTCCATCATCATCATCATCATCATTTATTTATTTATATAGCACTTTAAAAACACACCTGGTAGACCAAAGTGCTGTACAATACTAATATGCACATAATAATAAAACCAAACATAGCAATAAAGTTAAAAAACAATAAAAATGTCAGTTACCCACAGAGTTAAAAGCCAGGGAGTAAAAATAGGTTTTTAATAAAGACTTAAAAACTGGCACTGATGCAGCCTGTCTAATATGGAGAGGAAGGTCATTCCAAAGCATCGGCGCGGCAACAGAGAATTCCAGATCTGCTCTCTCTAATGATAACGCTTAAACACATCCCACATTGTCTTACACAAACATATGAATCTGACCAACATTCAGTTGTGAAAAAAACTGAAAAAATCTGCAATCGTTCATTTCATCTGATTTACAGTTCTAATAACAGTGTTTTTATGATCTGGTTAATCTGGTTTCTCTTTAATGCAGCGGTCCCCAATCTTTTTTGCACCAAGGACCGGTTTATGCCCGACAATATTTTCATGGACCAGCCTTTAAGGTGTCGCGGATAAATACAACAAAATAAAACTAGTACCGGTACCGAAAAAAAGAAAATTTATTCATAACACACGTGAAAAGACCCAGGAAAACCGAGTAAA